GGTCCCATCTTTAGCGAGCGCAAGAAGAGGATGCGAGAGCTAGGGGCCGAATGGAAAGACCGCCCAGATGATCTGATTCAGTGGATCCTCGAGTCCGCCGGAGACGGAGAGGCCAGTTCGGAGGAAGAATTGATTGCTAGGCTGCTGTTTTTGAACTTTGCTTCCATACATACTACTACTGCTGTAAGATATGATACCTCCTCCCTCCCCTTCGGACAAATATTACGACAGGAGGGGGAAGCTGATCAGAGTATGGGTGGGGATAAAGGCAGTAGTCCACGCCCTCTACGACCTCGCTGCAAACCCTGAACTTCAAGCACCCCTTCTTGCTGAAGTCACGGAAATCCTAAGCAAAAGCGGCATGTCCAAGCAATCGCTCACAAAGATGAAGAAATTAGACAGCGTAATCCGTGAGAGCCAACGGCTAAACACCACATCAACAAGTTCTCTCTCCTTTCCCCTTCTGCCCTCACAAACAATCACTCGCTAATAATCCCGGCACCTAGTATCAATGATGCGCAAGGCCCTGGTCCCCTACACCTTCTCCGATGGCACCCACCTACCAATTGGGACCTGGGTGGTAGCGCCCGCAGCCGCAATCCATCAATCAGCCTCCATCCCAAACCCCACTGTCTTCGACGGCTTCCGTTGGGAGCGTATGGGGGCGGAAGACGAGGCCTCCGGCAAAGCGGGCAAGCATGCTGCGGTCGCCACATCCTTCGAAAATCTGATCTTCGGGCACGGAAAGCATGCATGCCCCGGACGCTTCTTTGCTATGCAGGAGTTGAAGATTTTGTTGAGTCATGTGGTTGAGCGTTTTGAGCTTCGTTTAGGAGGGGCAGGGGGCAGGCCGAGGAATAGATTTTTAGGCGTTTCTTGTTTAGCGGACCGGGAGGGCGTGGTGGAGTTTAGGATGAGGTAGGAGCCGTATGTGTGAGGATATAGGGGATGGGTTCATGGGGGGAGGATGGAGTTTGTGTAGGGGTATTGTCTGACCGATTTTGGAGGTTTGGTATCAATTTAGGTTGATCTCCAGCAGAAGTTAAGCCATACGTGGCTGGTGATACTGTACACTCCGCTGTCCACCCATCTCCAGTGCATAGGCCACCATTTTCCCCACTTGTATTAACCCATTAAACTCGCACACTCCCAAATGAACATGACTCACATAAAAATGCCAATCCCACATCACAAGCTCCAGAGAATTAAGTCAACCCAACCATCCAACCCCCCCTTCCCCGATTACCCGTACCCGCCCAAGTAAATCACCCCCTAAACCCCCCAGCCAACAAGGCCCCCGCAATCCCACCCCCCCTCTCGGTCGCCAAAAGATTAAACTCCGCCGCAGCGCTCCCGGTATCCATGATATCAACCCTAACCCCTAACTCCGCAATCCTCCTCCTATCATCGGGAGCCAAAAGTAAAGTCCTCTTTCCCGTTCCAATGATCAACAACTCTGCCCCCCCAGTCAGTAACCCCTGAAGCTTAAGGACACGAAATGGTTATAGTGGGAGGCAACAAACCAGGTTTCGGCCAAACAACCTCCAAAACCCCCCACGCCCCCTCCCCAAACCCCACCAGCCCATCCTTACAAGCCGCGTCCGGCGCCCAAGCGAACACGCAATCATTCAGCAGGAAAACGCCACTCCCGGCAGCGGTGCGGGTCCCACTCGCCAGCAGGAAGTGCGTGTCGTAGAGCGCTTCCACAGAGTTTACCGGACCCGGCAGGTCGCCGTATATGTCCAGGCCCGAGATCCCGGGTGCGGCGGGGGTGGCGGGTTCTGGGGCCCTGGCGCGGGAGGGGTGAAGGGTTGGGTAGAGGGATCGGGATCTTGGGGGGGTGGGCGGATGGTCGGAGGAAAGGGAGGGGAGGACGGGGAGGACGGGTTCGGAGGAGGCGTGGGAAGGGGTGCATTCCTAGGGATTGGTTTGGCGAGAGGTGGTGGTGGCTCGTGAGGGGTTGGGTGCCCGCTGTTGGTTGATGTTGAGATGGGAGGATGGAATGTTCGAATGGGTTGGAAAAAAGTCTTGTGAAATTTGGAGGATGAAACCGTTCCTGGATAGCTGATAGATGGATGGAGGAATGACGAAAATGCCAAGACTTTATCTTGGAACGGTTTATCAGAATTTCCCATTTTACTTGGATTATGTAAACTACTATTCTCTACTCGTACCGGAATGCCTACGGGCGGGCTGCGGTATAGCAGAGTGCCGTAAATGTAATTTACAATACTACCGTATTATTACTACCCGAGAGCCAGAGCACAGCACCCGCCAGTGCATCACCGCGCCATGATATCCCTACGCTGGCATTACGAATTCACTGGAGCAACTGCAATCCACAGAGTCGTTGAACCATGCTCGTCACGACACTGCGCCCCACACAAGCAGTACTAGTAACATGCATGCAAACTACCCCACTCCTGAAATCTTTTTGTTTAGTCCAATAGCCTAATCTTAATAAATATCAGTGACAATCACCATCAGTACTGGGATTTTTCTTTCATCCATGCCCTAAAGTACAAGCACTTACCTAGGGCAAGCGTGAGTACAAAAACCACTCAACACAAGGAGATTGTAGACCTCATCGCAGAACAGCTTGCTCCAACTATGCAGCACTCTTGGATGTCCCTCTGTCATAGACATGAACCCATGCCGGAAACTGGAACAAGCAATTACCTGAAGCCATTCCACTACAGCTCTGGGGTATAACCATATGACATATCTGTTTACTAAATTTCTCAATCTGACAAACATTGGGCCAATACCTTTCAGAGTATAACTAATCATGGCTTATGGTATGATAATAAAGATTGACATTCCATAGAGACTGTTGTGATTCGCAAGGCAGACAAGCCTGTATACAATATCATCAAAATTTAATCATATAATATTATGATATATTTGCCTCTAATAGTTTGGTTAACTTGTAATACAAGAGAGGTATTTATAATACTATGTTAGTTGTTAACAAATATTTATAATATAATACCAACATTGCCTAACATACTATTAAGATAACCTCTCTTACTTATATTATAATATAGTTCAAGCAGTCCAAAATATGTACCAGAAATTTCAAGTCTTTCAAATTCTATAGGCTCTACCAATATGCAACTCTAGGATAAAAAATAAAAAATTTATAAAGAGGAAAAGAAGAAAAATAGTTGCTGGGGGGGGGGGGGGGGAGGTTATCTTCTCTTTCTAGAACAGATTTTTCTTTTGAAAATAAGCCTAGTATATTAGAAGCCTATAGAATTTGAAAATAGCAATATTTCTAGTGCATGTTTTGAGTAGCATGAATCATACCTAGATTCGAATTACAATAAAAATTATTTTATATTTTACTATTAAGGTATTCTGAATTTTAAATATTTTTATTGAGTAACAGGTTATATTCAAGTAACATAGATGATGTAAAGCAAAAAAAACTGTGTTGAGCTACAAAAGTGAGATTGAGTTACAAAAATGACATTGAGCTGTCCAGTGACATTGAGCTCTCAGGCACTCAGGATGAGTGCCACTAAAACCTAAGACAGCAAATGTTTGGAGATTGTAGCACCCTAGCTGCAACCTTGGCATGAGTAGACATAATGTTGTTTAGGTGCATATACCCAGTAGGTAGAGTCTAGTTGGTGCATAAAACGAAACAATCATTGGATTGCACAACGGCACTTGCCTCAGATTGTAAGGATTTTACCATAACTGGTAACAGGCACTCCAAAAGTATATGGTAAAAAAATCAAAAAAGTCCCTACACACCCGAGCTTCCCATCCAACTTTGCAATCTCCGTTTTCGGGCACTCAGTAGGATACCCTACAAAATCTTCCCCAAAAAACCCCCAGGAGGAAATCCACAAGAATTCACACACAATCACTCGCAACGAATGGGAACTTCTATCCAGCACCCAGTTCTCCGGCCAGCCCAAACTCGGCCTACCTCTCAAGCAGACTAAAAACTAAGTTCAACCCCCAAATCGCTACCCCGCATGGCCCAATTCCAATGAGAGTTTCGTGGTGAGACCGTGGGAAAGAAGAGGTCTGCGGGCCATAACTATGGTGGCCTGGCAGTTGCCGGGGTCGTCTCTTGATCATCAGCCCCCCAGATGAGGTATGTATGGACCTCTCTGGTATGGGGGGAACACACTACTTCCAGGTAAGGTTCTGAGACTGAAGGAACCAGCTGGCGAACAATTTTGAAGCGTTGGCTATTCACCATAGGTTGGAATCTTCGGGACTCCGCAGCCGCTAACGAAGTAAACCCCCCCTCCGCCCACCTGGGAGGGGCACAAACTGGTCAGGTCATTGCAGCACTGCACTGGCCAACACCTACTCACGGGTATAACCGGTGTCCCCGTCCCACCCAGCGGTGATGTTGTGCGCCCGTAATTCGGGCCACATGGATGACGGAGCATGTACCTGGTGCCGGTCGATAGATAGTTCGCTGGGCGGGATGAGTGTGCATTTGAGGAGGACTCCTGGATGTTGGGACAAATTGTACCCGGCGTTTAGGTTGTGGGTGGATGAATTTGTTGGGGCTCGATGTTGGTGGGGTTTGGGGTTGCGAGCTCGGGCAGACGCATTAATCCGGGATGCCGCTGGTCGGCATGCGCTCCATGAGCCCGAGAAGGTAGTGATTTTTGGATCTATGTTTAGAGGAGTGGTGGGGAGGGGCCTTGGCCTAGTATTATTTATTTATTTATGTATGATGATTAGTAGGATTAGTGTTAGCTTGTCACTTAGACACAATACCGCTTAGGCGCCTATAACCGGTGGGTGGAGTCTAATAGTTAGTACGAATAAATTATTTTTTCAAACCCAGGACATAACGCAATCCCTCGGGGACTCGGCCGTCAACCTTCGTCACCCCAGAAACACCGCCAATCACGAGAGGTGGCTAGCTACCGGAGACAGAACCTCGGGAGTTGAGCAGGATTGTGCGTCTATGCGGGTACTACTCTTCTAAGAGATGATGTCGCATGTTTCCCCGGAAGCGCTGTGGCGCGCAAGATTTCCACTAGCACAGTAGGGCTGATCAACGGAGTCGCCAATCTGAAAATGAGCGTCGCCAATGGGCCACTGACAAGAATCGCCAGAAACAAGGAACCAAAGATGAGTGCGTTGATTGGTGGCTCAGTAGAAATCCTTTTCAATTCGACGGCTAGATTCCAAGTGTGAAGAGGCGAGTCCTAATTGGGTGAGTGATATGCGATGACTCGTCGGCCAACAACTGATATATAAGCACTTCTAAGACTAAAGTGGTCCCGCCGTTATTAGCAATGCCGACAAAGTGGTCTCGTACTTTGCAGCCGAAACAAGCTACGGGCATTCCAACCGGGCAGTAAAGGTTGAAGGGCTCAATATCACTCAAAACAGCTATGAGCAGGTCAGACGAGAGCCAAGCAGGCTATCAAAACTTAATTACCAGAGCTATCCTCGGTCTTAACCAATCAATCGTTTCGATCAGAACCATGCCAATGGATAAACAGGTCACAGAACTTAAGGCAAACGGCGTGGACCCAGTACTTCCACCCCTATAGTTCCAACCCGGCCGCTCCATTCTTATCAATTCTTGCCGCGTGGACACCCCCCAGCTAACCTACAGCTCATCTAGAGCAAAGAGTATACCCCCCGATGGGGTAGCAAATCCACCACCAATACCAATACGGAGATGAACCAGGTGGTAGAAATAGCTACTCCCGTAGAGACAACTCAAGCATTCCTCGACTTGATAGAGACTATTCGCCCAAGGGATCGCTGAATGGAAAAAAAGGGATGTGTAATGCTAGTGGCCAGATCAGACATCATAATACGGATCGCTGGGGTGATGATGCTCGAGCTGGGAATGACACAACGTATAATGTTTGTCCGATGAGCTCAATATGGATCGACACGCATATTCTCGAGCATTGCGTGTTCGCCGGACCAACCGTTTCCAGCAAAGTGCCTCCAAACAATTAGAGTCTCCTTAATTCTATTTCGACTTCCCGATCGAGAGAAACCATGTCGGCAACCCTTCAATCTTGCTAGAAAACTGACATTCTAATCCCGCCGCCGGGGGTGGGGCAACAACGATTAGGGCTATAATTGAGAGCGAGATTCTGCGGAAGTCATTTAATGCCTTCTTCGGGGGTAGTGATATCCTCGGAAAACCCACTGATGTATAGTAGATAAGGCAAAGCCTTATCTCAGCAAGCTGCAGAACCAGTTATTGGCCAACTTGGACATCTCCAAGAGTGGGTCGAGGAATACGCCGAGACAGAACCTAGTCACGGCCACGTCCGCATATCCCCCCCCCCATCCATCCCGGAAGGTGACTGACCCCACTCACGACTCCAGTTCTCGCCCGAGCCGCCAAAGCGATCCTGGGGGAGAGGATCGAGGCGGGCGGTGTAGGGACCGGTTAGCCAAGGGCGTGTACCGTACGATACCATAAATCTCTCTTCTGGACTTCAAATAGAGGAGGGAAACGGCCTAGCTCCATGACAAACGCTAATTAAGGGCTCCACCCTGCCAAACCCTTCCGACCGTAGCCCCAAGCCGACGGGGCGACATGATGGATATGACCTCACAGAATAGCCCCACCCCAGGAAATCGATGTCTAACCAACTGACTAACCGCGCTCGGTTCATGGGACCGCTAGCAAGAGATGCATTGTCCCAGCATACCTCTAAAGCAGCGCACGGCATCTTCCAAGTGGATATCAGGTGGAATTCCGGGAGGCGAGTTGGGGCCCGGGCCCTTCGAAGCTCGTTAACTCTGAATATCACCGCTGGTGTGGACCAAGCTCTCTCGGACTAGCGAGGGCTTGGTCCGATGAAGGGCACGGCGGGGAAGCGTATGGT